CCCCTCCTGTTCCCTACCAGCTGCTGGCTGCCCCCCCTCCCGCCTTGGGGGTGTGACCCCTCATCCACCCCCACATGTCACCCCGATGAAGACACAACCCAGCACTGGACTTGTCAAGGGAGTTCTGATCTGCGGGTTTTCTGAGCCCATTGCGAACAGTGCAGAGGGAGGTACGGGGGCTGATGAGGGGCTAGGCACCATGCTCTGCTGTGGACAGCCCCAGGAGGCGGTCCCAAGGTCTCACTTCATTGTCAGCCAAAGCCGAGTGCGAACCTCTTTCCCCGTGAGGCCGGCCGAAGGCCTTGACCTGCTGTTTCAGGCAGGTCCCTAAGGAGTTATTTTTCTGAACCATTGAGCCAGGATGTCAGATTCAGGCTCCAGCCACTGACACTAATAAACCAATTACTCTAGAACGTGGACTGTGAAGTTATAAAATAAGCGCAACGAATTCTCCCTGCTGGTGCTAACAAGCAAGATAGCTTTTCCCCAGCAAAGCACTGAAAGCAGAGTCACTCCACTTGCTACTGGGTCTTAATTAAACCTCAGCAATAGATCTGTGTGGCCCTTTATCAGAGGTGCTAATTGCTAATCAGCCATAGGACGCAGCTGGCTCACTAGACCCTGGCAAACTGTAAAACCCAGCAAGATTCCCTGGCTGATCAGCGAGGGAGAGGGGCCCTCTGGGAGACAAGTGGCCTGAATTTCAGCACTGCTGAGCACCCACAACTGTCCTAGGAGTCGGCAGGAGCTCAGCTCCTCTGCAAAGTCAAGCCAGAGGCTCTCCTGGCACTGGAGTTTCTAGGTAAGAGACATTTCCTGCCAACCATTCTTCCAAGAGAAGGGGAGTGAGGAAGCTAAGCAGCTGCACCGCCAGAGAGTTACTTGTGAGATGCCAGTGCATCTGACTGGGCAGCCACGCAGCGGGTAGAAAGCTTGGGTAGGGTGGCCAACCCTCCAGGATTGCCCTGGGCTCTCCAGGAATTAATGATTAGTGCAAACACTAGGGGAAAAGAGAATCTTAGTGACGCTGTGCTATCAGCTGATGGGGAGCTTTTCATGCGTGCGCCGTATTACCATTGGGATGTGGTCTCCATCCTGCAAGGTGCTGTACAAACATATGGGAAGAGAAGATCCCTGCCCCGAAGCATTAACAGGCTGATGAAAGGCAAAAAGCAATGAGTGAGTCTGACTATAATGGGAGGAAAAGGGAAGGATGGTAACAGTGACAGACCAGATGGATTCGTGGCTGGAGACACCTTCCCAGCAAACAGCAACCTTGAACATAACCATCCAAACTCCATTGCCAGGAGTTCAGTAAAAACTCTGTTCTTATTGAGAGGCTCCGGTGTTGATTTCCAGGCTTGGAGGAAGCATGGCGGAAATTCAGACTCAGATGTGAAAAACTGTCACCAGAAATAGCTGAGAAGAACCAGAACCCTTATGCGATGCAGCCCTGTAAGCAGCTATGAAAAATCATAGGACTGGAAGGGACCTCGCAAGGTCATTTAGTCCCATCCCCTGCACTCGTGGCAGGACTAAGTATTATCTAGACCAGTGGTTCCCAATCTTTTTGATACTGGGGACCAGTAAACAAGCTTTAGGAGTAACATTTATTTGCATATTTGCATATTCATTATGCAAATGATGAATATGCAAATAAATCGTGTCACTGGTCCTACCTGTCCAGTGGGTTGTTCCGCCCCCCTCCTGGCCCCAGTCCCGGCCGCTTTATCGGCCGGCACAGGCTCCCCCGGCTGTGTCCGGCGCTGGGCTTTCTGCGTAGTTGTGCACGGCACCCAGAAGGTTGTTTCTCCCTCCAGCTCCTGGCCCCAGTCCCGGCCGCTTTATCGGCCAGTGCTGGCTCCCCTGGCTGCGTCCGGTGCCGGGCGTCCTGCATCGTTGTGCACATCACCCGGCCTTCTCCCTGGGTCCTAGCACCCGCCGGATCTAGCCCTGCCGCCCGGGAGCATGCCCGGCAGAGACGCTGACGCGGTGGTCTCTCTCCCAAGAGGGCCGTGCCGGTGCGCTCGGCAGTACCGGGTGCTGCTACCCCGTCCCACAAATTAATACGATCATTGGCTTCAGTGTGAGCAGAGTCGGGCCAGCGCTGAACAGTTCTGAACCTCCAGGCTATGCCGAGGACAGGACGGACGCAAGCTGCTTGCCCCCGCCGAATCCTTCTATCAGAGGCTCATATGTGTCTCTCCTGAGCTACGTCATCCATGCCAGCTGAGGGCAGGTACATGCAGCTACAGCGCTTCTCCGCTCTGTGCATAGAAACTAACCTTTTATCATTAGCTGTGGTTCTTTCATCCTCAAACTGTGCTGAAAAAATGGGATTTCCCAGCAGGGGAGATACCACGATCATGAAGGGGATTTTCCCAGGGCTCATCCATTTCACTGCCGGTGCGCTGACCCCTGCGATTTTCCCAAATGTGGGAAACTCGACTGCATAATTTGTTGAAGTAGGGGACTGGGTTCACACTTTCCCCTGGCCAAAGAAAAGCAAAGTCCTGTCTACTCCCCCGACGCCAGAGGTTTTCACATGGACTTGAATGGGAGCAAAGCTGAGGATTGATTTCAGCGGCAACTGAGTATGGCCATCGCTTCATTGGCTTCAGTGCGAGCAGAGTCGGGCCAGCGCTGAACACTTCTGAACCTCCAGGCTATGCCGAGGACAGGACGGACGCAAGCTGCTTGCCCCCGCCGAATCCTTCTATCAGAGGCTCATATGTGTCTCTCCTGAGCTACGTCATCCATGCCAGCTGAGGGCAGGTACATGCAGCTACAGCGCTTCTCCGCTCTGTGCATAGAAACTAACCTTTTAAATTCCCTCCCCCCCCAAAGGTATCTTCCATGCTCATCAGAGTCCTCATTTCCTGGGGAAGCGAGCAGCGCATGGGAATGTAAGTGCTTTGCTCAGGGCCTCACCCTCCTGAACGTGATTAACGCGCCTATAATCTGATCTGGAAGGCCCAGCCGTGTCATTGAGATGGCGTGGAGATTACTTAGCGCCTGCGCCAGCTGACAAATGAGCCCGGCTGTGCCGGCATTGAGGGAACACAGCTAACATATGGCTAAGGAACAATTGAGGGCTTTGCCGGGACCACATGTCTTCATTAGGAGGAGGCAGGCAGGAGAGGCGGAGTAACACAATCTATCACCATTATGGAAATGCACTCTCCATAAAGACATACTTTGGGCAGTGCAACACCCCAGACCCGCTCAGGGGGGCGTGTGATGCACTCTTGGCCCCAGGCACCTCGTCAGTCATCTCCCGATAGCCTGTCACTCACAGGATGCACCCCGCAAGAACATCTTCCCGGGCTTAGCACGCCAGTCACCAGAACCCAGGTGGATGGGGAGGGGAGGGAAGAGGAGGGAGGGGACAAGGAGTTGACAATTCACCTCCAATGCAACAGCAGCTTGGTGACTTTATTTACCCTAGACAGCCCCTGGCCGCGCTATAGCCTGGTGCAGCATAGACCTCTCCCGGGGCTTCCACAGCTGGATTTGCAGTTGATGATGCCTCTGCCAGGGCAGCTACCCACCAAGTAAGCAAGCTCTATCCCCCATGTGGGCTGGCTGCCCGGATAGCCTGCTGCCCCCTCCCAACCCCGAGCTGATCCCCTCCCCCCCACACACACACTGCCTGGTGCGCCATTTGCCCAAGAGCAAAGCGAATGCTATCTGCAGAGTACGTGCATGGCAAAGTCCCGCACTGAGAGCAGGCCTCAGAGGTGACATAAGACAGGTGGGAATCACAGCTGGGTCACCACAGCCCTTGGGGCTCCCCAGGAATATCTAGGGAGGCCTTTCTAGAGAGACCTTCCTGCGCTGGTGCTCTGTGGGGACCTTGAGTTGCATATCTTAGGAGAGGTGGGTTTGGTACCGGTCCTCTTGACTAAATGGTTGGGCAGTGTCCTGGGTCTGATCTGACTATTGTCCTCCACCCGAGAAGGGGCTGCCCCATCTCTATCACATTATAGTCTGTGCACAGCTTTGGGATCCCAGTTATAAAAGACACAATAGTCATGCTCACTGTTAGGGTACGTCTAGACTACCGGGTTTTGTCGACAGAAGTTTTGTCGACAGTATCTGTTGACAAAACTTCTGTCGACAAAGAGCGTCCAGACACATTGAGTTCTGTCAACAAAGCAAGCTGCTTTGTCGACAGAACCCTGTAGTCTAGACGCAACCCTACAGGCAATAACACCTTCTGTCGACAGAGCTCTGTCGACAGAACTCAGCGGTAGTGTAGACGCTGGTATAGTTTAGTCGACAAAAGTCCACTTTTGTCGACAAAACTCAGTAGTCTAGACACACCCTTAGAGATGAGGTGGGTGAGGTAATACCTTTTATTGAACCAGCTTCTGTTGGTCAGTGAGACAAGCTTTTGAGCTTACACAGAGCTCCTATTCGGGCCTGGGAAACTAACTCCCCTGTCTACACTACCACTTATGTTGGCAGAACTCACGTCACCCGGGGGGTGAAAAAAACATCCCTCAGTAACGTATGTTTTACTGCCATAAGCGGTAGTGTGCCCAGCCCTATCTTGGCAGGAGAACTCCTGCCACCCATGGGGGTCGGTCGGTTTAATCATGTCTTCAAGAGAGCCTTCTCCCGTTGGCATAGATTGACCACATGAGAGATCTTACAGTGGGGGGGGGGTCTCTGTACAGGTCTCCAGCTGCAAAGTCTCTCGTGTAGACATAGCCTAACTCAGTGTGTCTAGACTACAGGATTTTTTCCAAAAAGTGGCCTTTTTTCGAAAAAACTTCCCCTGCGTCTAGACTGCTGCCATGTTCTTTTGAAAGTCAATTGAAAGAACACGGCAGTTTTTTCGACCGCAGAAAACTTTGTTTTACGAAGAAGAATGCCTTTTTTTGAAAGTTCTTTTTCAAAAAAAAAAAGCGCTATGTATGCAAACTGCTTTTTCGAAAGGGAGCATTCAGACTGCGTGGGTGCTCTCTTTCGAGAAAGCGGCTAGCTTTTTCAAAAGTATTGGTTGTAATCTAGACGCTCTTTTTCAAAAGAGGCTTGCAGTCTAGACGTAGCCAGAATGTCACAGTTCAACAGGAGACAGAACAGACTGGTTAACATAAGTCGTTAACATATATTCCAGGGGGCCATTCAAGGCAAAATTACCCTTCAGTCTTAAGGAGATAAGAAAAGGTGGAGGGAAAAGCAAACGGGGAAAGCATGTTAGGGGGTTCCACAGTGGCTTTCCAATTTCCCCAACTACTGTTCTCCTTTCAGGAATCTGATTTGCTTTGTGTGCCCCCAAGTTTCACCTCACTTCAAAACTACTTGCTAAAAAAATCAGACATCAAAATACAGACGTGTCACAGCACACTGCTACTAAAAAACTGCTTGCTTTTTCAGTTTACCCTATAATTATAAAATAAATGAGTTGGAATATAAATATACTTACATTTCAGTGTATCATGCATACAGCAGTATAAACTTAGTTTGTACTGACTTTGCTAGTACTTTTACGTAGGCTGTTGTAAAACAAGGCCAATAGCTAGATGAGCTGATGTAACCCCTGGAAGACCTCTGCATTTTCCAGGGGCTCATGTACCCCTGGCTGAGAACCTCTGCACTATAGATAGTTGCAAAATAAGTCATCAATCCAGTGTCTTTGTTCAGTCTGTGATTTTTAGAGTATAGCAGAGAAATGAATTTAAGCTCCCAAGCTCATCTGGTGAAAGTTGTGCAGGTTTCCTTTGAGGCAAGGATGGAGAGGTCAGATCTAGAGTGATCCTTTTGTGAAAAGTGCTCACCACTGGTGACAGAGCATGTTTGCTGTGTGTCATTTTCCTGCGTGAGTTCACTCGAGTGTGCTGTGATTGTCTGGGGTCACTCACATAGTTGTCATTAGAGTATTTAGCGCATTGGATGAGGTGTTAGGCATGTGCAGGCTCCACGGAGCTCAAAACGCCCGTTGTGGGGCGCACTGATCACTACAGAAGCAGAGCTACATTTGCCGATGTTTCATCTATTGTTCTGGCAGACTCTGGGGCCACTGATGAGTTGCTATGTCCTGGTCTGTGAGGAGACTGCTTTTCATGATGTGCTTGGAGAGGTTGGGGGGAGGAGTTGTTTGAAGGCAAAAGAGGGGGTTCAGGAATGATTTCTTTCAGGATGTGGTCCCAGTCAAGTGTGGATATTAGTTAAGAACATAAGAACAGCCACACTGGGTCACATCAATGGTCCATCTAGCCCCATATCCTGTCTTCTGACTGTGGCCAATGCCAGGTGCCCCAGAGAGAATAAACAGACCAGGCAATCATGAAGTGATCCATGCCCTATTGCCTAGGGACACCATCCCTTTTCCATTCTGGCTAATAGCCACTGATGGACCTATTATACAGGAATTTATCCACCTCTTTTTCAATCTGTTATAGTCTCGACCTTCACAATGTCCTCTGGCAAGGAGTTCCACAGGTTGACTGCATGTTTGTGTGAACATAAACTTCCTTTTGTTTGTTTTAAATCTGCTGCCAATTAATTTCATTAGGTGATCCCTACTTCGTTTGTCCTGGGGAGTAAATACATGGGGTTTTTTTCACTTTCTCCACATCAGTCATGATTTTATAGACCTCTATCATATCCTCCCATGGTCGTCTCTTTTCCAAGCTGAAAAGTCACAGTCTTATTAATCTCTCCTCATATGGCAACCATTCCATACCCATAATTATTTTTGTTGCCCTTTTTCTGAACTTTTTCCAATGCCAAGGTATCTTTTTTGAGATGAGGTAACCCCATTTGCACTCAGTATTCAATACTATGGATTTATATAGAAGTGATAAGATATTCTCTGTTTTATTCTCTATCCTTCAATGATTCCTAACATTCTGTTTGCTTTTTTGACTGCTGCTGCACATTGAGTGGATGTTTTCAGAGAATTATCCACAATGTCTCCAAGATCTCTCTCAAGTTGATACATATAGTTAGGATGATGTTTTTCAATGTGTATTACTTTGCATTTATCAACACTGAATTTCATCAGTCATTTTGTTGCCCAGTTGTTTGGGGTATGTCTACACTAGCTCATTAATTCAATCTAGGTAGGCAAATCAGGGAACCGGAGTCGCAAATGAAGACTGGGATTTAAATATCCCGGGCTTTATTTGCATGTTCCCGTCCGGCCGCCATTTTTAAATCCCCCTTAGTCCGAACGAACTGCCCGCGGCTACACTTGGCAGTTTAAAGTTAATCCGAACTAAGTCCTTAGTTCGGATTAACTGTTATTCCTCATTCCACGAACTAAGGCCCAGATCAGTGGGAATTAGGATCTTATGGATCTAAACACCCTTTCCTCTGCATCTCATTCCTGGTTAGCATTGGCCTCTCCCTGCTTGGCTTCTTAGCATCTCAGAGTCCTTTGCGTAGGTGCCAGACTCTCCCCATACGGTGCACATGAATGACTACCTCAGGACTGTGAAAACCAGTTGGGCATTGGACAGCAAGATTGTTGCTTGTAGCTCT